TGTTCACACTGCAAGTAGTGTGCCTGCAGGTAGGCAAACCATTATAGCACATTGGGCTGAGTTCAACCAGTCTGTGGGTGCAAGTTCAGTCACTAGGGACTCTCTACCAGACCTATCCCTCAGGTCTGGCTCCAGGGTGGGAGCCCTGGTGGCCCACGTCCCAGCGAGGGACATCCATCTCCTTCTATTCCTCTGCCACTGCTAGCAATCATTTAAAGAGGGGAAAAGTACTGAAAGAAGTACTTTTATTTGTATAGTTTGGAGCAGCATCCATTCATACCATTTGATGCCTACATCGCTGCTGCTTCCAGAGACTTTAACAAATTACTTTCACAAAAGAGTTTTAGTAATTTCTCTATCCTTTTCTCTTTACAGGTTCACTAAAACCATAACAATCAAAACTACTAGAAGTAAACATAAGATGAACGTTGGTTACGTACTGTAACCCCAGATTCTATGAATATAGGCTTCGCCCTTTAAGGCTGTCGCTTAGTGGGTTTATCCCGTTCTGCGAAGCATTACACTGAAAAATTGAGTCCACGCCCCCCTGCTGTGTGGGCCCCACCCGGTCCGTATAAATTACGTTAAGAGCGGGTAATCGTCTCCCATTTTTCTTCAACGAGCTAATAGCACTGTCAGAAGAACGAAGAAGGAAAGTTGTCTAGCTGACCAACCTTTGTTAAGACCGCCTGGCCCGTCACGTCAACCTCCGGTCGTCCCGGTGAGTTCTCCTCTGCGAGGAGAAGCAGATGAGCAGTCTTGTTTCAAGATAAGTGCCGAGGAGTATTTCTCAGTGGCAGGTCGCTACACGCTGGACGACGCCATCTTGTAATTTTCCTCTTATCGCCGACCCTCGGAGCGAATCGGATGGTTCCTCCGGGACAGGCGACGTCAGCAGCAGCCCCCCGCTAAACAGAAGATAAACTATGGGTCTTTGTTAAACCATGAAGCAGAGAAAGACAAAAAAATTCAGTGAAAATCTTGCCTGAAAGTAGCTCCATTTCTTCCTCAACACATATTTGTTGTATTGTAGCACAACACAGTCAAACAAATGCAAGTTAACCAGTGTTAGACATTTTGTACATGATTAAACAGACACGTCAGTGGAGCGACGACATTAATCATAAAGGAAAATATGTTTTGATATCATCAGCATAGCAGTGACAGGGAATCTTATACATTCTGGGTATTGATTCCAAAAGGAAGCTATGTAAAAAGATGTTCACCAAAATCAATAGGAGTCTATCCCATCCCAGCCAGGCTAATATTGAGGTATTTCGCCTAATTCATATTCACATTTTGGATCTTCTTAATTTTTTTCTCTAATGAATTGTTATGTACCTCAGCACTTGAAGGTTGCTGTAAAAAACCTTTAAGAAACATTACCTTGATTCAGGAATTCTTTACAATTATAGACCTATATCTGATCTAATTTTCATCTCAAAACTTCTGGAAAAAATATTTGCAGGTCAGTTGCGTGAACATCTGCAAAGAAATATTCTTTCTGAGGAGTTTCAGTCAGGGTTTGGAGCTCATCACAGCACAGACACTGTGCTGATGACAGTTATTGACAGTTATTGACAGTTATTGATATGTTTGTGGCCTCTGATAATGGACAGGTGTCTATACTGGTCCTGTTAGACCTCAATGCTTCATTTGATACAGTTGATCTCAATATGTTATTACTGAGACTTGAATATGTTTTTGGAATTACAGAAACAGCTCTGAAATGGTTTAAATCATATTTATTTGATGGATTCCAATTTGTAAATTTTGAATCTTCTTCATAGTGGAATATACTCTGCTCATGTATGACTGTGCAGCTACCCATCCAGGCTGTCACAATGTAAAGTTTGCAGATGATACAGCGGTGGTGGGATGCATCACAAACAATGATGAGTCCAGCTACAGGCAAGAGGTGGAACACCTGGAGAGCTGGTGCAAAGAGAATAACCTTCACATCAATGTGAAGAAGACAAAGGAGATGATTGTGGACTTCAGAAGGAACAAAAACACCTACACCCCCCTGAACATAAGAGGATCTGCGGTGGAAGTGGTCTCCAGCTACAAGTACTTGGGTGTACACATGAATGACAACCTCAGCTGGAGCAACAACACCACCAGCCTGATGAAGAAAGCTCATCAGAGACTCTACTTCCTCAGGTGGCTGAGGCGAGCTGGTCTGGAAGCTCAGTCCTCACCTCCTTCTACAGGTGTGCAGTGGAGAGCATCCTGTGCTCCAGCATCAATGTGTGGCATGGAGGCTGCACAGCTGCAGAAAGAAAAGCTTTGCAGAGAGTGGTGAAGGCTGCACAGAAGATGTTGGAGTCAGCCTCCCCACCATCACAGACATCTACACCTCCAGATGCAGGAAGAGGGCCACCTGCATCATGAAGGACCACACTCACCCAGCACACACACTTTTTGCCCCACTCCCCTCAGGAAGGAGGTTAAGGAGCATTAAGTGTAGAACCACTAGACTGAGGAACAGCTTCTACCCTGAGGCTGTTAGACTCATGAATCTCTAACCAGAATAATCACTGTGAAAAATCACATCATGTTGCTGCTGATCTGTTTCATGTTGCTGCTGATCTGTTTCATGTTGCTGATCCATTTCATGTTGCTGATCCATTTCATGTTGCTGCTGATCTGTTTCTTGTTGCTGCTGATCTGTTTCATGTTGCTGCTGATCCGTTTCATGTTGCTGATCTGTTTCATGTTGCTGATCTGTTTCATGATGCTGCTGATCTGTTTCATGTTGCTGCTGATCTGTTTCATGATGCTGCTGATCTGTTTCATGTTGCTGCTGATCTGTTTCATG